CCTGATGGGCCCCGAACGGCTGCCTCCTGTTCCATCCATGCTTTTTGGGCTTCACTTACAGGCTCTCTCTCGAGTGGCTGTTAATTATTGATACCTCCCCCCCCCCTTTCCCTTTCCTTCTTGCGTGCGCTGCACAACCAAAAGCTCTTGCATTAGTGATGTCGCTGGAGAGCAACCCAAAAAGCCTGCTCGGGCGTTACAAAGCATTCCTGGCTCACCTGCAAAGGAAGCCACTCAAAACAGCAAATGGGGACGGGCGGGCGGTGGGGAGGGGGATGGATGGAAGGAGAAAGGAAATAAGATTTGGCAGGTCTCTGACTTCCTGATGAGCGAGGTAAGAAGAGGCTGCCTCTGCCCGGAAGGGAAGGCTGTCAAAAGGCAGAACTGTATTGTCAATCCTACAGCTCTTGGGGCTGGTCACCTGTTGCTTCCTGGTTACTCTGTCGAGTGCTTTATGGCTACTCCACAGAGTGCCATGCTAAGGTGGCTGTTTGAACAATCCGTAAGTAAACACATCTCCCAAAGTGGTTGGTCGCCTGGTATGGTTTTATATTTCTTCCAAGGCACCCCTGTGTGGTTCCTTCATTTAATCCTCACTGTAGCCCTGGAAGGACTACAGAAGGAGACTGGCTCAAGGTCACCCTGTGAGCTTTAAAGCAGTGTGGGGATTTGAACCCTGGTCTCCCAGATCCTGCTCAGACCCTCTAGCCCCCATTCCGTACTGCCTGAGGAATCCCCAGATCCTGTCCTCCCTGATTTCTCTGAGCAGGCATGGTAGCGACCTTTCCTCTAAATCCAATTCAGGAGCTCTGGCTCCTAAGAGTTCAACAAAATTGTGGCCTGTCACTTCCAATCCGCCTACTTATGTGGACTCACAGTCACACTGCATCATGGGGTCTGTAGTCTTCCCACAAAGCAAGTAAGGGCAGCATACGATCAAGACCTGCTAGACCCAGCCCGTATATGGCCACCTTCTCAGAAAGACCAACTTTTTATATATCACTATGAAGCTGCTTAATAAGGAGCCACACCGTTAATCAATATGGTCTTCTCTGGCTGGCAGCAGCTCTCCAGAATCCAAGGCAGAGAAATGCTTTTTCCAGCTCCTACTAACCAAGTCCCTTTAACTAGAGATGTCAGGAACTGAACCTGGGAATTTCAGTAAGCAAAACAGCTGTCTTGCTAGTGAGCCACAGGATTCTAAATGTGTGGTGAGCAGCTACAGGATGTGTGCTGCTGGGGAAGAACTTTACGTGCTCAGAGATACTTTGTCAATCCACACTTGTTTCTTTAAGGAAGGTGTGGCCACAGAGTAGGGCTGCCAAGTGGGGGCGGGTAAACCCCCGCTTTGGAGGCCGGATTTCCGCTGCCGCGGAATTGGGCCCCGGGGGGAACTCCGCCCCCCAAAGCGCAGCTCACATTGGGGGCGTGGTCCCGATCGTCGGAGGGAAAACTCTATGGTTTTCCCTCTGACGATTGTGGCCACGCCCTCAACGTGAGCGACATAGCGCGTCACTTCCTTTGATGCGCTGGCGGCATGCGTGCATCGCCAGAGAGCTCTCGGAGCCCAGCGAGGCTCCCCCGCCGCCAAGGTAAGTAGACTTGGCAACCCTACCACAGAGGGAGGCAGTGATATTAAAAAGGAGACACCCTTGTGGGCAAATCGTCAAAATCCAGTTTTCAGCTCCAAGCAACAGGATTGTTGTGGGAAACGGACCCGTCTTTGGTTATGTCATGATCTGGGCCGTGTCACCAGAGGCCTACTAGGCCCAAGGAGCCTGGTTAGCAGTAGGTGAGGCTGGGTTTACAACTCCCAGAAGCCCTTGGGAGGTTTTGGAGCCAAAATGGACCAATAGGAAAGAGGAGGGCTGGGAATAAAAGTTCTGGAGCAGCAGGAAGAGCTGTTCTTTCTTCCAGAGGGCAGAGCCAGAAGAAAGGCTGCTGCAGGGGAAAAACCCTCATCCAGAGGGAGGGGTAAGTGTAAGGCCACTTGAGATAGTGAGCTAGGGAAAGTAAATTTAGACGCGTTAGGGCATTTGATTTCTCTTTTCACCCACTTACTGTTATTATCATGCACCTTGTTGTTTGACCTCCTATAAAATAAACCTTTGCCTTGTTTTTCGGCCTAAAGGGAGGTCTGAAGGTCTTGGGAGGGTGCTCTGGGCCTTCTCAAGAGAACCTAAATCCAGAGTGGTGGCAGTGTCAGGTGACACCCCACCTGAGTCGTGACAGGGTATTTTTATTTGAGAACTTATTCTGGGAGTCTTTCGTTGGGTGTGCATTTTACTCATAGTCACACTTCACCATGGGCTCTGTGATGTTCCCACAAACAACCCAAAATGCTTCTGTCTCCCCTCACTAGAGCCATATTTCCTGGCAGGCTCTGCTGCAGACCCCATAAAAGCAAAGTGGAATCTGCCCAGACTCAACCTACTTCTTTTACAATACTCCATTTTTTATAACAACCCCTAATTCCATTTTAGTCTGGCAGGCTCTGCAGCAGACCCCATAAAAGCAAAGTGGAATCTGCCTAGACTCAACCTACTTGTTTTACAATACTCCATATTTTATAATAACCCCTAATTCCATTTTAGCCAGACATCGGGTGCGGTCAGACGGCGTGCTGCGAACAGTATAGATTGCTCCGGTCCCGATGCGTGTTTTTTTTAACCTGGAGAATCGTGATCACACTCACCTCCTTGTTCCGGATCGCTGCGCAGCTACATCGCTCCCCGCCATCCATATGTGGGAACGTGCATCGGTGTGTTTTTCCCCCTCTCAGTTTGGGCATGCGCACAGGTGGCCATCTGTAGAATTAAAATTTCCACGCGTGCGCAGAACAGTGATTTCCAGTTAAACCCAACTGCTGTAACACTTCCCTTTAAACTTTAAAGGAACGCTTCCCTTTAAACATTTACCCCGAAACTGGCCTCCGTGAGATCCCGAACTCGTCTGACCAACAAAACTAGGCACCATTTAAACATTGTTTTTAATAACGCGGGAGCGGAGCTCCCCCTGTGTGCATATCGCCGACACTAAAATAGAATGGCAGGCGAAGAGCGGAAGCCTCGGGCTTCCAAGCGGAAGTGGCTTGACACCGCAGGAGCGATCAGACATCAGAAAAGTGCGGCTAGAACTGGAGAATCAGGAAAACACCACTTGGGGACCTGGTAACAAAATACCCCATTTTAAAGGGGGGTTGAGCTGGAAAGCGACGGCTAGGGACGGTGTGCAGATGATGGGTGTGTGAATATGGATATAAAATCCGTTACTGAAGCGTGCCGAAAGCGGACTAAACGGCCCATCTGAATGCACTCTTAGTATAGAAACCCCCATAAGAACATAGAAGAAGAGTCCTGCTGGATCAGCCCAAAGGCCCACCAAGTCCAGCATTCTGTTCGCACAGAGGGGCCGACCACCTGCCCCTCGGAAGCCCACAAGCAGGACTGCAACAGCCTCCTCCCGCCCCCCGCGCTCCCCAGAGCAACCGATACAAAGAGGCCTCACTCTGCCTCTGAAATTGGAGGGACTAGAACTCCATCATGACTAGTAGCCATCGATCGCCACCCATCCTCCATTAATCCGTCCACTCCCCTTCCAAGTTGGCAGCCACGGCCACATCCTGTGGCAGTGAGTTCCACAAGTTAACTGTGTGCCATGTGAAGTACTCCCTTTTGTCTGTCCTGAATCTCCCACCCTCCGGCTTCAGTGGATGGCCCTGGGTTCTGGCTACTATTGCCAGGTCCCTTTCGCCCACCAGTGGAGGGGGAAGTGACATCGTCCCCCATGCCCCCACAAAACAGTGATGTCACATGCAGTGTGCCTGCGTCACCTGGAAGTGACATTGGCATGTCAGCAATGATGGTATGGACTTTGGGCAAAACTCTATGGTAAGAACACCAGAGTTTTGCCCAAAAGCCAGAGTGTCACCCCCTGACGATGTGGTTGTACGGCTGTGACGAAGGCATGTCGCATGTGACATCGTTCTTAGCCAGCGGTAAGCAGGAGCCCTCAAAATCGGGGGAATTCCCTGCTCCCACTGGGCAACTGTCAACCCTAGTTCTAGCTTTCTCATATTCCTTCTGCCTTTCCTATACACCTTGAACACCATGGTTTTCTTTCCCCTCCTTAAAACTCCACACCATAGGCCCCCCGCTTTTCATTTTGCCCCAATCCCTGCCTTGTGACCGGGGAGGGGGGGAGCACTAGACAGGCACAGCAGTGGTGGAGCTGCTTGGACCGAGAACCCAGGCTCATGGTCTGTTGCAGGGACAACACAGCCCTCTTTGGCCTCAGCTGCTGGGTGACCTTGGGTCAGTTAAAGTTCTCTCAGAGCTCTCTCAGCCGCACCTACCTCACAGGGTGTCTGTTGTGGGGAGGGGAAGGGAAAGGATATTGTAAGCCGCTCTGAGACTCTGAGTGAAGGGCGGGGTATAAATCCCTCTTCTTTTGACAATCCAGAAATCAGTCAGCCGCAGCACCGCTTTCTGTAAATGGAGAATCCTGCAAAGCAATGGCCCCCTCTTCTGGTGAGCAGCCACAGTCTCCCAGTGAGTAAAATCGCTTGGATCAGATTTCCAGTCTCCAGATCAGCCAGAGGACCTGTTTCCCATTTTAGCAATGCAGGTTGTTCAGGCAAAAGGGGAGAAAAACCACACGAAAAGTATCACCGTTTAACCAACCATCTGATTTATTTATTTGAAAGGCACAGCTAAATACATCCTCAATACAGAATTATTTTTCTCTCAGTTCCTCTTAATATAGGTCGAGTGATTAATAAACACATGAAGCAAACAAGCTCTCTCTCTCTTTCTCTCTCTAAAAGGAATATATACAAACACGAAGTTTTCTTTTTTTTCCCCCCTTAAAATTTCTCTTTGTTAAAGTGAAAACGAAACAGAAAAAAGTCAAGCCAGCGTACAGAAAAGAGGAAGCTGCAGCGTCCTTTAAAAATAAAACCATCAACGGGAGGAGGTGGGGTGGCTGGGAGGGAGGGAAGGAAGAAGGCTTAAAAATCCCTTCCTCCTCCTCCCCCCCCCCCCCCGCCCCCATTCTTAACATATTGAAAAGGGGGTCAACCATAATAAAGTTCCAAAGTTTCCAGGATTCACCAGTAGGGAAAAGATGACACAGCATCAAGAGATTTACTGGGGAGGGGGGAGAGGGAGAAGATACGTAACTAATATATTTATATATGTATATATATAAATTTTGCTTCTGTGCTACCTTAAAACAAGATACATGCGGAAGGAGGAAGGTGCTCATCAGCTAACAGTGCTGGTGGGGGGGACGGGACGAAGGAAGAGTCTAGGCAGGGGGTATGCCAGAGGAGTGAAAGGGGTTCTCTGGGAGATACCACGAACACCGCAGGAGGGCAGAGGGGCAGGATTTGCACTCGAGGCTTCCCACAGTCCAGGAGGGTCAGATGAGTGACTTGAGCAAGTTCTAGGGGCGGCCACCTGCTAAGAATTTGCTTATCGTCGTTTGCGCATGCTAGGCCCCACCCATGTAGGAGGGGCTCCAAGCAAGTGAACCAATCAGAGACAACCTCTCTGCTGTCAGCGGTCTGGGGGGGGGGCAAAGAGGCCGCTGCAGACCCAAGAGGGTGTGTGTGTGTGTGTGGTGGTTTCTGCCTCCTCCGATGAAGCGGTCAGGCCAAGCCAGACGAAGCCACATCGAAGTGTATGGCAGCAGCCGCCACCGAGGAAAACCTCTGCAGGACCCATCGGGCACCAGCGGGCCTGAGTCGAGGCATCCAGGAAAAGAAGCAGGCCGAGCAGGAACCCTGCAGGGGCACACACCTGGCACCACTGAAGGAGAAAACCCCAACAATGCAATGGAGACCTGCAGGCTCTCTGAAGGCCGCCGGGTGGTGGGAAACAGGCCTCTGCGGGGCCCGCTCAGCCACCCCTGCAGCAGCTCTGCGTTTGGGCTGGGTTCCTCGCAAGGCGAGAAGCGGATCCTCTTGAACGTCCCAGGAGCCCAGCATAAAGCAAGGACACAGGGGCCTCTTCCCTCTCTCTCGGGGATGTTATAAACTGGCTAGCTGGTACTTTTAGCACAGCCTTCTCCCAAGAAAACAAGACCTCGCCCTAACACCCCACCACACACACACCCTTTACTTTATTATTTTATTTTTACTTCTCCGATTTATACCCTGGCCCTTCCCCGCCAAGGGAGGCTCAGGGCAGCCAAGATCGCAGCATACCGCACGGTGTGAAGTGTGGCACTGGCGGCATTGACCGCCAGGTGAGTAGCCGCAGGAGAGACGTCCGCCACAAATTAAGTGTCTGGATGGAAGTGCCCGTATTTAAGACAGGGGGATCCAGAGGGTCAGTGAGGAAGATGATGAGCTCCTCCTTCGCCCCCCCCCCAATGACCTACGGGAGATTGCCAGCTGCCCTTGGAGACGCCGCTGGGGCTGCGGCTAAGTGCCTGGGATAAGGAAAGGGGGCGGGGCCAAAGTGGTATTGCTGCAGAGGTGGGCGGGGCAAAGCTGGCCACTTGGGGGGGCACTTGCCCAGTCACTGCTGCCCCCCGCCTTCTCCAAAAATCTGCAGGTCCCCCCTACGAGTGTTTGTAACTAACCCCCCCCCCTGCCGTTCTCCCCCCTCCTCACACCGGATCACTCCCCCCCCCATCCCAGCCACCCCCCCAATCCGCCTAATCCGATTTATCTCCGTCGTCATCTTGGTGGGCGTCCCCGTCGTGGCCATTCTTGTCCTCCTTGGAGAGGTGAGCTTGCGATCCCAGGGCAGACAGGGAGAGGAGGCCGGTGCTGGCGCTGACGGCGGGGAGCGAGGGGGGCTGCAGCCCCACCGGCAGCGGGGTCAAGGGCAGGGCGAGAGCTTGGAGCTGGGACAGCTGATGAGCCTGGAGCTGCTGCTGTAGAGAAAAGAGAAAAACACGGCCGGGAAAGAGAAGCGGGGGATGAGCGAGCAGAAGGCAAGGGGGGGGGCACGGTGCCGCGGGAGGCAGGGCTCAGCAGCTCTGGAGCTCGAGGGGCGCGGCTGTCAGGGCATATTTTTGGAAACACCCCCTCCACTATGTGAGCAGTGGCAGAGAGAGGCAACGGCGGCACTGTTCCCTCTTTGGAAATGCTGGTCAACCCTGCCCCGGATGGCCCAGGCTCGCCCGCTCTCGTCAGATCTTGGAAGCTAAGCAGGGTCGACCCTGCTTAGTCCTTGGATGGGAGACCCCCAAAGAAGTCCAGGGCCGCTATACAGAGGCAGGCAAGGGCAAACCACCTCTATTCATCTCTTGCCCTTGAAATCTGAGAAGCTAAGCAGGGTCAGCCCTGGTTAGTACTCGGACAGGAGGCCACCAAGGAATTACCAGGGTTGCTACACAGAGCCAGGCCATGGCAAGCCACCTCTGACGGTCTCTTGCCTTGGAAACCCCAGGAGGGGTTGCCTTCAGTGGGCTGCGACCTGACGCTTTCCTCCACCAACGCTGGTCGACACGGCCCTTTGACTGGCATGGCCCGTGGAGAGCAAGCAGCCCTCAAATGTGTCCCCGAGAACCAAGGGGGACGGCAGTCTTCAGCAGCCAAGGGAAGAAACTGTGCCCCACGAGGGCGGGCATCCCTCCCCCTCCCCATTTATGCTCCCAAGAGACTTGGGCTCTCCCGGGGGCTGCCTGGGCGGCCTCAACTCTTGGCCTGGCCCGGTTCTGCCTCCGAGCTCTCTTTCCGTTGGCTTCTATCGAGGAAACACACTGGGATCTGAACAATTTTTTCTGCCAGACAAGACCCTGGTGTCGCAGACTTAGCGACGACTGTGCTTCATGCGAGGACTGAGCCGAGTGACAGACATGCACCGCGGGGGGGGGGGGGGGACACACAGAGATCCTTCGAAGTTCAAAGCAAGGCCCCCCGAGTGCGGGAAAAGGCATTCCATTCGAAAAGTATTAGAAAAGCAGGACCGCAACGGTGTGAGAGACCCAGGGTGACCATGACATCCCGTCAGACCGACTTAGAATCGACAAAGCAGTGACAGCCCCCCCCCCCGCGGAACTCCCTCTCCCCACCCCCCGACATGACCCGGTTCCCGTCAGGAGCGCCACGAACCCGGATGATGGAGTTCAGCTCCGGTGCCGTCACCTGCTTCGCTCGCTCAATGGCTCCGAGGACCTGCTGCTGGTGCTGGAGGAAGACGGGGAAACGTACGCGTGTCAGGTGCAAGGCAGAAAAGGGGTCTGGGGCATAAGGGTTTGGGGGCCCCCACAAAAAGAGGGCCGTTTTGGTGGCAGCCCTTGATTGTGGGACACCCTCCCCGGGGAGGTGCGCTTGGCCCCCGCCCCCCCCACTCGTCATCTTTAGGAGGCGGCTGAAGGTGGTTTGATTTAGGACTGCATTGGATTAAAGCAGTCCTAAACTGTGATTGTAAATTTTGGGTTTATGCGTTTTCATGCACTCCACGCATTTCATGCACATCGTAAGGCACTTTTAAGCTTCGTGAAGGAAGAAAAGCGGCTAATGAATGTTTAAAATAAAATAAATACCGTAAGTAAGGGGAGGAAGGGTGGAAATCGTTGTGACAAAGGGAGCTTTTGGGTTAGACAAGGGGAATAGAGTTGGAGGTGCAAAGTTTGAAGGGACAGTGGGGGAGACCAGATTCAGGTGGGCAGCCGAGTTGGTCTGAAGCAAGAGAACAAAGTCTGAGTCCAGTCAGGCACCTTGAAGACCAACAAAGTTTAATTCTGGGTATATGCTTTTGTGTGCCGGCACAAAAGGAGGATGAGGAGGAAATTGGATTTATACCCTGCCCTTCACTACCCAAAGGTGTCTCAGAGCGGCTTACAAACTCCTTTTCCCTTCCCCTCCCCACAACAGACACCCTGTGAGGTAGGTGGAGCTGAGAGAGCTCTGACAGGAACTGCTCTTTTTTGAGAACAGCTCTGACAGAACTGTGGCTTGCCCAAGGTCATCCAGCCAGGTGCAAGTGGAAGAATGGGGAATCCAACCCGGTTCTCCCAGATTAGAGTCCGCACACTTAACCACCACGCCAAACTGGCTCTCTGCCAAGAATTACACTTTGTTGGTCTTAAAGGTGCCCGTGGACGCAGACTTTGTTCCAATGGGGGAAACAGCCATTATTTTTGTCAGCTTGGCTAAGGGGCCGGCCCTGGTGCCTCCTGCGTACTGCGCTTGGGTGTAGGGGTGGGGAGATTACCTCTTGTGAAAGGTACGGCAACACCTGGGCACAAATGCCATTTAACCGCTTGACGATTTCAGCCTGGAATGTAGAAGACAAAAGAGCATAAAAATCTACAGAGGTGGCTGCCAAGGCTCCCTCTAAGCTGCGGAGTCTTGTGAGCAAAAAATTCTACTTTGTGAGCTGCAGGCATTGAAGTTGTGAGTGAGCGATTTGACTACTGCATAAATTAGTTGGCTCTGGAGCCCTCCTTCCTGAGCTAAGACAAAAATGTGTGAGCTGGAGGCTAAAAAACTGTGAACGAGCTCACACTAACTCAGCTTAAGAGGGAACAGTTGCTCAACCCCACGGGAAAACCTAGAATGTGGGATGGGGGTGGGGAGAAAGAGGGCCAATAACATTTCTCAAGGAGGGTCTCCCAACCTAAATATGCCTGCAAACATGGACACTTGAAGAAAAATATCCGTATTTTCCTAATATTTTTTAACATTTCTGATTATGTCTTCGGGGGGAGGTAGAAGTTTTGAAAGGAGCTGGCAAATTTCTAATATTTGAATTCTACCAAGGTATCGCATTTACACATCTTTCACCACCAAATTTTAAAAACTCCCCACATTTTAACAAAATTCTGGAAACTGAAACAAAATATATACATTTGCAAACTTTGCTTTTGAAGCCCCACAAAGAGAGACAGAAACAGGCACGATGCAGACAACAAATCAGGGAAGCCCCCAGTTCAACTCTTCCGTGTCATGAACTTGCACGGTGCTCCAGCCAGGTCCCACTTTCAGCCTCAGTCCCACCCCCGTCAACAATATGGGGATAATCCTGATCGGCCTTACAGGGCTGACGTCAGCAGGAAAGGCCTGGGGGAGGGTTGCCAGGGTTCGTGGTGTATGCCTTGTGGAAAGAAACTGCTAAGAAATACTAAAGGTACCCTCTGAGCATGTGCAGAATGCCTTTCTTGTTGTAATTGCTACCTGTCCCTCCAATATTTAGAATTAAGGATCAAAGCAGTTTCTAGGGGCTTTCTAGCCCTCCTCCCTTAAATTACACTTTGCTAGACAGATTCAGGTTGGTCTGAAGTAACAGAATAAAGTTTGAGTCCAGTGGGCCACCTTTAAGGCCAACCAAAACTTAATTCTGGGTATAAACTTTTGTGTGCACGCACGCTTTAGTCCACACGGAAATTTATACCCAGAATCAAACTTTTTTGGTCTTAAAAGTGCCACGGGACTCGAACCTTATCCACTTCCTAGACAGTCCTTTATACTTTGAGCTCCTGTTAAACCACGAGCCAGTTTCTCGTACCGCCCCCTTTTCACAACTGCTTCTACCATCCTTCCTTTACAAAGTACAGTCGTTGCTCTACCACCTCTCCAGACCCTAGCAGTGGTTGGATAAGAACACAGGTCTCCTATACCGACTGCCAACTCCCGACACTGGCTAGACAGCGCCTTTATGTGGGCCCAACTGAAAAAAACCAAGAGTCGGACGCGGCACGAGAACTCTTAAAGAGCGTCAACCCAGGCCCACCACAGATTGTCAAAAGAAACATAAGACGGAGCTTACCTGTTTGTGCATTTCGATATTGAGCCCATAGGACATCTCGTAATACTGGAAAGGGGAGGTAGAATTTGAGGGGTGGGGAGAGAAGAGAAGGTAAGAATTGCATTGCTGGATCAGACCGACGATTCCTCCAGCCCCAGTATCCTGTTTCCAACAGAGACCCGCCTTAGCGAAGCACAGGAGCAGAGCAAAATGCAACCACCCTTGGCATCTGATAGACTGCCCCTGTATAGGGAGGCGCCTTCTGTCTAACCCCCTCTCAAAAGTCAACTGGGTACTGGCCACCACAGCTCAAAGGCCAAAGCCTCTGGGCTCATACAGAGTGCCTTTTCCCTTACCGGCAGCTGCTGGTCATCCGTTTGATACCTCGAAGACAAGAGAACACAACATAGCTCCTTGCCCTCTTCTAAGTAACAGCTCTCTGCTATTTATTTCCCCTACATCCGCAGGCCCCCCTAGGGCAAACGTGGCTGCCCTAACGCCAAATCCAGCGCACTGCCCCCTAGACTGTGAGCCCCAGCAGGCAAGAGGTGTGCACGGCAACACAGATGTTTGGGGCAGGCCCTCTTTCCCCAGCACAACTTAGAACTCTAGAGCCGAGAAGAAGAAGAAGAAGACAGGAGATTGGATTTATACCCCGCCCTTCACTACCCGAAGGTGTCTCAGAGCGGCTTACAAACTCCTTCCCCTTCCCCTCCCCACAACAGACACCCTGTGAGGTAGGTGGGGCTGAGAGAACTCTCTCCCGAATTGGACTTGAGAGAACAGCAGCTCTGAAAGAACTTATGACTGACATAAGGTCACACCAGCAGCTGCATGGGGAATCAAACCCGGTTCTCCCAGATTAGAGTCCGCGCACTTAACCACTACACCAAACTGGCTCTCGGGGGGGGGGGTTTGCCCCCCCGGAGGCTTGTTTTGGATGCACCCCCAACATCAGCCAGGACTTCCAGGCAGAAGGCCTCGTATGCACACATCGCATTAAAAGCTGGAAATCTCCATCGTATATCAAGCATATCGACAGGCATAGAACAGAATGGTAGAATTGGAAGGGGCCATGGAGGCCATCTAGCCCAAGCCCCCGCTCCATGCAGGATCGGCCTAGAGCATCCCTGACAAGCGTTTTTCCAGCCGCTGCTTTAAAGACTGCGCGCGCGCGGGGGGGGGGGTGCTCACCAACTCCCTTGGCAGCTGCTTCCACTGCTGAACTACTTTTATTGTAAAAAAAACCCCCAAACCTAATATCCAGCAGGTACCTTCCCACTACCATTGCTCCCTCTAAGCTGTGGAGTCTTGTGAGCAAAAATTCTACTCTCTGAGCTACTGGCATTAAAGTTGTGAGTGAGCAATCTGGCTTCTGCCTAAATCGGTTTGCTCTGGAGCCCTCCTTCCCGAGCTAAGACAAGCACGTGTGAGCTGGAGACTAAAAAACGGTGAGCTAGCTAGCAGTGTTCCCTCTAAGCTCACACCAACTCAGCTTAGAAGGGAGCACTGCTGCTACCCACAGGAAGAGCTCCTCGCCCTCCTCTAGGTGACCGCCTCTCAAACACTTGAAGACAACAACCGTGTTCCTGTTTGGCACAAATTTTTGCATTGCACGTTGAAATTCTGCACCCGGGGGAAAAAAACGCGTTCTGCAACCTGTACTAAGATGATGCAAAAAGCGCCGGCAATCCCTCCTAAACTGCCCCCCCCCATCCATTGCGGTGGGAGTGCTCCCACCGCCCGCCCCCTTCTGCTGGGCTCAGCTCCCGCTCCGACTGAAAATCTCCCCCCCCCCACTGCCTTCTTCCCCTAACTGCCGTGTGCTGGTTTTGGCAAGCTGGTTGTCCAGCGGAAAAGGAGGCCGGGAAGCTAACCAACTCATTGGTTCTGGCAGCCATCCGAGAGGCAAACAAACTGGCCACGCTTGGTACCCCCGTCGGGGTTCAGCCATCCACTCTGCTGTCTGAGATCCAAGCAGTCTCGCAAGCACCTCTTCTAAGCCATGAGGACTAGGAACGTGGCCTTAAAATGAATAAATATCTAGGTCTCTTGGGGAAGGCTGAATTTTGTATCCCCTAGGGCCAAAGTCTGCATCTCTTTCCCCCCTGGCGCTCCTGCGGAATTGCGGCAGGCAGGCAGACGCACACAGCCCTAGCGGGTACAGGAGAAGTCCTTCCTCATTCCGGGTGGTTGTTTTTTTTGAAACTCAGAACAGTTTCCCAGGAGATAGACAACAGTCATCGCCTCCCTCTTATCTCCTCGCTCCAGGGAAGGCGCAGCCCGCTTGTCTCGCTGGGGCTTTGGAAATCTTTCCGCGTTGGCATTAATGACTCCTTGACGGAAGGAAATAAAAAAACCCCCGTCAAGCGGCATCTCGTCAGCCGTAACGAAGGAACTCACGCGGCAGCGGCAGCGGCAGCAGTGGCCCCGACCTTAAGCAAGGAGAACACGGCCGGCCCCCTCTACCTGGCCTGCACTTAACCAACCAGTTAACCAACCGACAGCCCTTTCGGAGGCAGCTGCATAAATCATGCAAATTGCCCAGGCATTTGCACAGTGTTGTCAAAGGGAGAGGCAGCCAATGGCAGGGGCCGTGGAAGCCCCACCCTGCAATCACCAGGAAATCTTCTCTGTCTCCCTGCAACTGCGTGCGTTCCACAGGTGAAGGTTTCCCTTGCTCGAAAGCCAGTCGAATCCGACTCTAGGGATGCGGTGCTCATCTCCGCTTCCAAGCCGAAGAGCCAGCGCTGTCCAGAGACGTTTCCATGGTCATGCGGCCGGCATGACTGGACGCCGAGGCGCACAGAATGCCGCTCCCTTCCCACCGAAGCGGTACCTATTTATCTACTTGCAATTTCTTGCTTTCGAACTGCTCGGCTGGCAGGAGCTGGGGCCAGAGACGGGAACTTACTCCGTCATGCGGCACTCGGGTCTCGAACTGCTGAACTACCGACCTTCCGGCCTGCAGGTCAGCGTCTTAACCACTACCTAGACCTTAAGGCAGGAAAGGGCAACCAAGCGGGGTCACACAAGCCGCCAGACATTTTCTGATGCTCACTGACCTCTGAAGGAGCCCCCCTTCCCCATCACCTCTGTTGCTTTATCTTTTGAAGGGACATACCTACCAGTGACCTAGGGTTGCCAACTCTGGAGGGAAAAACACCTGGAGACTTTGGGGGGTGGAGCCTGGGGAGGGACTTCAGCAGGGTACAGTGCTGTGGAGCCCACCTCTATTGCCCGGAGGTCAACTATGATAGCAGATCTCCAGGCCCCACCTGGAGGCTGGCAACCCTGTGTGACTTCACTCGCTTGTTATGGGGGGGGCAATAAAGATCAGAGTTGTGAGGTTTTTTTTTAAACAGCAAACAGTGACACAAGCATTACATCTGACAGGAGCCCCAATTTAGCACAGAAGATTGAGACGTTCTATTAAGTACAATTTCCAGTGCAGAACGTAACGACTCAGGAAATGGGGTCGGCAGTGACCCCGGTGTCAATTCAGCGGCTTAAGAGCTTTACCTGCCACTGGCCCTGTCAACCGGCAGCCACCATGGGGAGAAGAAAATAAAAATCTTACCATGACATAGTGACGCTGCATCTCCGATTTCTCGCTTGCAAGCTTATCGCATTCCAACTTCAGGCTGCGGAGAGGAGGAGGAGACGTGCACCCCGAAAGGGAACAACGGGGGGGAGGGGGGAGGTCACTGGCCGAACTGACAGAGGAGAGTTTAGCAGAGATTCCCACAATTTCACAACATTTTGAAATTTCACTCCCCAAGACTGTCATTAGTACCCACACGCTTTTAAATATTATTACTTATCATTAGCCTAGTATTGAGGTGAGGGCTGCCAAGTCTGGGTTCAGAAATACCTGGAGATTTGAGGGTGGAGCCACGCAGCACACCTTCCAGAGCAGCCATTTCCTCCAGAAGTAGAATAAATATTGTAAATAAATAAGCAATTTATGTTGTCTGAATATAGTCTAACCTGGAGGTTAGAAGCCAAAAATGAGAGATCACGGGAGGAAGTGCAATTCCAAAAAGAACATCCGTGACAAAAATAACGAAGAGTCAATAAAGATAAGTTGCAAACATTTTTACTGTAGTAATTTCTGTAGAAAATTTTCTTCTATTATCACTCACATGCTAACGAATACTGCGCAATGAACAATTCGTTTCACAATATTTGCTTTATCTGAGACCTTGGGTTCTGTTATTACAGAGTCAACAGGGAATGTTTCCTTCAGGAGTTGATAAGTAGTGATTGATAAGAACCGGGATTGCTACACACTCAGATAATAACTAACAAATATTGTTAAATTGTACACGGTGATTCACAGTTTTACTGACACACTCAGATAAACCAAATATTGTGAAACGAATTGTTCATTGCGCGTTATTCGTTAGCGTGTGAGCGATAATAGAAGAGAATTTTCTACAGAAATTACTACAGTAAACATTTTTCCAACTTATCTTTATTGACTCTTCGTTACTTTTGTGACGGATGTTGTTTTTGGAATCCCTCACAATTCATGTCCGAGCATGCTAACACCCTGTAAAAGTGGCCCAAGAAATAAATGGGAGGTTCCTAGGATCCCAGGCACCCCCCACAGAGGAGGGCACCCTCTTCATCTCTGCATGATTTTCTGCTCTGGTCTTGTGCCCTTCCCTTCAAGATGGGACGGGGGTACCCTGCCCTGGATAGCCCAGGCAAGCCCGATCTCATCAGTTCTCGGAAGCTAAGCAAGGTCGACTCTGGCAAGTACTTGGATGGGAGACCTCCTTGGAATACCAGCAGTCGGGAGGCGGGGGCAGGCTTCATTCAGCCACCTCTCTGAATATCGTCCAGGCCCCCAGTAGGGGTCAATTACCAGAAGTCGCCCATGACTTCCAGGTGCACACAGACTCAGATGCACACATATTTTAAAAATATACACAATATCCCCCCTCCCAAAAAGGGACAGGGGTGATTCTGTCCCATCTACGTAAACTGGACTAATCATTCCCCATGCGGAGGTGCAGGAGAATTACCAGCTACTGTGCCTCTACACAAAGTTTCCCCTTCCTCAATTGAGAACAGATACTCATACAGAAATACAGCAGGCACCCTCCTCTGAATAATCCTTACACACTTGAAAATGAGGCCTGTTTTTTGGCTTTGAGGGTAAAGCATGCAGTTACTTTTAACTGAGGGGGGACAAAGCAGGCCTCGGTGGCTGGAGGGTGGTGGTGGGTGAGTCAAAGAAAACTTGCCTGTGGTACTGGGCCTGGAGCAGCTGGAATTCATCTTTAATCCGGTCACAGGAATCTGACGTTGTGAATTTCAACTGCTGAGGCAGGTGAGAGGAACCCTGGGACAGAATGGGGGGGGGGGGGGGGAGAGATGTTTTAGGTACACTGTCTTAGGTGACATGATTGCGGTTTACAAGATTATGCATGGGACAGAGCAGGTAGAGAAAGAAGTACTTTTCTCCCTTTCTCACAATACAAGAACTCGTGGGCACTCGATGAAATTGCTGAGCAGAATGGATTAAAGGAAGTACTTCTTCACCCAAAAAGTGATGAACACATGGAATTCACTGCCACAAGAGGTGGTGGCAGCTACAAGCATGGACGGCTTCAAGAGGGAATTAGATAAACATATGGAGCAGAGATCCATCAGTGGCTATTAGCCACAAGGTATAGATAGGAACTCTTGGTCTGGGGCAAGTGATGCTCTGTATTCTTGGTGCTTTTGGGGGGGGGGCAACAGTGGGAGGGATTCTCGTGTCCTGGCCCCATTGGTGGAACTCCTGATGGCACTTGGTATTTTTGGCCGCTGTGTGACAGAGTGCTGGACTGGATGGGCCATTGGCCTGATCCAACATTGGCTTCTCTTATGTCCTTATGTACTGCTAAGCAATGGCAAATTCTGATAAAGCTTTGTTTTATCACTTGACTGCCCTTTGACCAAACTAGTCCTCATGGAGGCTTGTGAAGCAGAGCCTGCCAAAATTAAAACCCAGTGAGAAGCCAAGAGAAAAATCATCACTAAAGACAGCAGAAAATAAAATAAAAAAGCACGGGGGAGGGAGAGAAAAATTCTCTCCGAAATGTGGGCTTTGAGACTGATTCATGCCAAAAAAAGAGGTGGCAAAATGGAGTGAGCCACCTCTGAACATTGGGGGGGGGGGGGGGGGGAGGTGACCGTACAACCATGTGGCCAAACTGCCCACAGGCAGAAAACTAGCGGAAGAGGGACAATGGTGGACAATGTTCCCTCTAAGCTGTGTAGTCTTGTGAGCAAAAATTCTACTTTGTGAGCTACTGGCGTTAAAGTTGTGAGCGAGCAATTTGGCTGCTGCTTAAATTAGTTTGCTCTGGAGCCATCCTTCCTGAGCCAAGACAAAAATGGGTGAGCCGGAGGCTAAAAAACTGTGAGCTAGCTCACACTAACTCAGTTTAGAGGGAACACTGAGGTGGACCGCTGTTTTTTCTACTTGGAGGGAGGTTTTATTTTTACATTTGGAAGAGATGCAAAAACGGCACCCCTTGACCTGCAGGCTGAAGTGAGACTGTCTCTTCTGCCAACTTTGGCTTCTACGGCCTGAAATGTAGACCAAGCATTGGTATACCAAATGACTGGGAGATCCATGGGGGAAGGTGTTTTTACTGATAAATATCATGGCTTGGCTCAGGGCTGCAATACATTGGGGGCTTCTGTAATCCTTCTGCCCTTCTTAATTTTTCCAATTTCAGATCCTCTGCATTTGCAGCTACTATCTGGTACATCTGAGGTGAGGGGAACAGCAATGGGGGGGGGGATGAAGGGTTAACTGCCCCTCTTCCCCTGGACTGGGGTCCCAATCCAGGCTTGGCAAGCAGAAGGCCCCAGGTTCAGTTCTCAGCATCACCAGCTAAAAGGATGAGGTAGCAGGTGATGTGAAAGCCCTCTGCTATTCAATGGAGACAATACTGACCTTGGTAGACCAAGGGCCCGATCCAGTAGAAGGCACCTTCATGTGCTCAAAGCTACGGAGCAATTTCAAAAACTGGTTTGGGGAAAACCCATTCAGATCACCTCGAACAAGCAGCTGGGGAGGTGTGATTGGACACAGAGAGATACCTCAATGTCACAGTAAATGTAAGGGTTTCCCTTGCTCGAAAGCTAGTTGAATCCGACTCTAGGGGGCGGTGCTCATCTCCGTTTCCAAGCCGAAGAGCCAGCGCTGTCTGAAGACATTTCCGTGGTCATGTGGCTGGCATGACTAAAAGCCGAGATGCACGGAACGCTGTTACCTTCCCACTGAAGTTTTATCTACTTGCAATTTCTTGCTTTCGAACTGCTGGGTTGGCAGGAGCTGGGGCCACAGACGGAAGCTCACTCCGTCACGCGGCACTTGGGTCTCGAACTGCTGAACTACTGACCTTCCAGTCTGCAGCTCAGCATCTTAACCTCTGAGCCACTGCGGCCCCTACGTCACAGTAGATGACACTGAAAGCCATGGGGTTGTGTGGTCACCAAGGGAGTGTGCACAGAGAGGGGGGATGGCACGGGCCAAGAAAAGATCCCCATCAGAGAGCAGTCAGCAGGGGTTCACCCCAAACCATCTTCACTTCCTCTCCATGTACACTTTTCCAGTTCATTGCCATGGAGTGAAGATTAACCTTTCTCCGTATGTTCCCCCAAGAGCACTACGGTCAGGGGCCCAAAACTTGTTAGCCATCCCGGGCCCCAAGGACATCAAGCTAGCCGCTACTAGGACCAGGGCTTTCTCGGTGGCGGCTCCTACCTGATGGAATGAGCTCCCAGGGGAGATCCGGGCCCTGCGGGATCTTGTGCAGTTCCGCAGGGCCTGCAAGATGGAGCTCTTCCGCCAGGCTTTTGAGTAGGAGCCGCCGCCCCTACTATACCACCACCGCCATGGGTTGGTTGAGGCCCTGAGGAAACATCTGAATGGAAGAAGCCCTAAGCCATCTACTTGGAACTCCGGACCGGCGATCCGTCATCTCTGGACTATGGAAGTCACTGAGCACCTTGTTTTTAAATTAGGATTTTAAGATGTATTATGTTTTAATCTGTTATGTATATTATGTTTTATTATGGCGAGGTCTGCCTTGCCTCTGTAAGCTGCCCTGAGCCCTTTGGGGAGGGCGGGGTATAAATATAATAAATAAATAAATAAAATAACCGAAGCAGGTGAGTGGCCTAAAATCCTATCTCCTCCTTGCAGGGGTCATTTCGTAGAAAAAGAGGTGCAGGAGCTCATTAGCATAACTCATTTGCATATGCCACACCCCCTGACCTCACCAGAAGTGTGTCAGAAGGCAACACCCACCGCTCAGGCTCCACTGGACTCTTTTGGATTGCTAGCTATTGGGGGGGATGGGACATGCAGATCCGTCTTCGCAGAGGAGGGAGAGCTTGTACCTGAATCAAACTTGGTCTTAAAGGTGCCACTGGACTATTTTGGACCGGGGGCTGGGGGGGTGTCTGCAGTTTACCTGGCTGCTTCTTGCTCTGACTGAGGGCTGCTGGGAGCAGGGGGCGGGGCTTGTTGCATGTGCCCGCCCCCTGGGCTCTTTACTGCCGGAGCTCCGCTCCTGTGTGGGGGGGGGGGGGGGGGGGGGGAGGAGATCCACGGTTCCTAAATCAAAGGCTGGAGGATACCAGATCGAAGAACCAAAGAAGAGACTTCAGAAGAGGGGCGTCTCAAGGGAGGTCAAATCAACAGGCATCCAGGGAAGGAGAAGAGCTTGGATTTATACCCCGCCCTTTACTACTCAAAGGAGTGTCAGAGTGACTTACAATCTCCTTTCCCTTCCCCTCCCCACAACAGACACCCTGTAAGGTAGGTGGGGCTGAGAGAGCTCTCTCGAGAACTGCCCTTGAGAGAAGAGCTCTGAAAGAACTTGTGACTGACCCAAGGTCATGCCAGCAGCTGCATATGGAAGAGTGGGGAATCAAACCCTCCCAGATTAGAGGCCGTGCTCCTAACCACTACACCAAACCGGCCTGAACTTGGTCCACCCTCCCACTGAAACAGATGAGGGGCTCTTCTGGACAGCTCATACAGGCTCCCCTACAACCTCCCTGGCTTTTAGCCTCTGAGTTTATGGAACGAGGGTAAATTAAAAAAGTAGGAACCAGAGCCGATCCAAGAAAGGCAGGCAGGATCTGTGCAAGCAGTTGTGGGGTCTTCCTGCCCTATGCGTGAGTGCTGCAAATTCTCAGCTGTGACGGACCTGGCACTGGCCAATAGGTGCCAGATGAGTCTTTCTGGGAATTCTAAGTCACAGGCCAAGGGCAGGGACAGAGGAAAACACTGCTTATGTCCCATAGCAAATATACTTGCATTTGCACAACTGGAAAAAAATAGCTTCTTCTGAAACTTGTTTTGTTTTTGGAAGATGGCCTCAAGTCACCGAGCAGAAATAAGGATG